TGTAACTGCTAAGTTTGACACTGAAACATCTAAGTCACGTTACCCTAATATAGACATCATCCTTGCACGTTGTCTAGACCTTAAAACTCCTTTACAAAAATAACCTTTTCGTAAATTAGTATATACTTACCAACTTTAAACAAATTGCGACAAATTTCCATAAATAAAGATGGCAACACAACAAATTATGGCGCTTATACAGTGTACCAAACATTATTTGTGTTCAGCGTTTCGACAAAAGACAGCTCTATTCAGAACTTGAATGCAAATCCAGCACAAACACATTGAAAGCCGACCATCTGCCTAGACTCGAGAAATACCTAGGTATAACTTATGTAGGTGGTAGCACTGGGTTGGCTAATCTGAACTGAATATTTCAGGCATAATACTAATGCGATTGCGAATGACTATGGCGCAGTGGATTAGTGGCCAGCTACTATGAAATGTACCTCGAGTTGGAATCTAGCTCGTAAACTACAATTCGATGACAGAGATCATCATAATCGTATCAGTAAGACTTCAACTGCTGAACACTGCTGAAAAGTGCCAATGACTTCTTTATGGGATAACCTGGTGAACGAACAGACGGCGTCGCCCATGGACACCTGGAACACCAGAGGCGTTACAAGTGCGATACCACCCTTTTGGGGATTAGGAGTTTGAGAATTGTTGGGGATTCAGGGATTGGGGAGATTGGGGTAGGGGGGGGGGGGCAATTGGGCCTCCGGTAACATCATTCACTCACTCACACGACGAAACACAACGTAAGCGTTGCTTCACGTTGATTTTCTGTGAGGCCGTGGTCTCATTTCCGGTCGAGCCGGCCCATTCGTGCTGAAGCACGGCTCTACCACACTTATACCTGCATTCAATAGCTCCTAGCAACCTCTTTTGGTCATTTGTCCATTGTCGTTTAAGTAGACGTCATGAGCTAAATAGATATTATTTCAACAATTTTAATATTTTACTGCTTCGTTAGTCAAGTGGTCGCAAGTGCGACTGGGCAAGGGGTCTCGGATTCGATTCCCGGGTCGGGCAAAGTATTAGGTACTGGGATTTAAAAAATTCTCAGTATTAGCACGGAGTCTGGAATTGTGCCCGGTATATGGCAATACACTCACCCCCTATTACATGGGACTCATAACATAAATAGTAAAAAGTGGGTGTTACAATGTACAGTGGCATTAAGTGCCGTAACGCACCTCTGCCTACCCCTTCGGGGATAAAGGCGTAATATTTCCCAGATATACGAAGCAAAATTTAACTATAACTTAAAAGTGATTTGACTTCCTCGCAAGAAATAGACCATCAAGCGATAACAATCTAGACTGAAGTGACGAAAATAAAATTAAGGAAACGACTGTATTGCACTAGGCTGAAAGGTATGTAGGTAATTAAAAATCACAAGTTCCTTTATTTATTTCGTTGCTTCGTGGCTTTACAGCTGCTTTAGTAAAATGTGGAGCACCAAACAGACACACAAACAAAAGACAAACCATAGATAGTTGCGAAGTTACAAAAAGATAGAGGACGGTTTGTGACGTAGGTATCTTTCTTTTTTTTATGGCATAAGTCGGTAAACGAGCAGACGGATCACCTGATGGTAAGCAATCGGCGTCGCCCATGGACACCTGGAACACCAGAGGCGTTACAAGTGCGTTACCGGCCTTTTGGAGATTAAGAGTTTGAGGATCATTGGGGATTCAAGAATTGGGAAGATTGTGAAGGGGAGGGTGATTGGGCCTCCGGTAACCCCGCTCACACGACGAAACACAACGCAAGCGTTGCTTTACGTCGGTTTTCTGTGAGGACGTGGTATCTTTACGTGGTTCTTATGGGATGTCCACTATTCTGTATAAGAATGGCTTATACTATAACAGGTTTATCGCGTGTAATAACCCGAATGTTTGATCCTAGAAACAGTAAAAGCGAATCTAAGCACTAGTCCAATTAAATAACAATACTTAGTTAGCTTTAGACAGAAATCGTTTCACGTCCGTCCCAGAAGTTAGCCAACAATTCATGCTCATCATATTTAACTATTACTTAAACAAACAGAATCGGGATGAATATTTCGCAACAAACGACTCAACTCTGCCCCGACTCGATCTAATTTGTGCAGCATTTGTTTTTGATATTACCTAATTATACTTAAGGATATTAAGAAGAAGTACCTACTTCGTTTAACAGTGGTATATCTTTGAATGTCGGACTAATATTTACATAGCATGGTACTTAACACATTTTTACATAGGTTTGGACAAAAAACAAACTTGTTTTCGTCCATTGCTAGTTCCTAGACATAAACTTTAAAAAAAAACATGCCATATTTCATAGTTTAGTTTTTAATACTGGTGTTACAGTGTCCAATGAGGTGAACCATCTGTTCGATTGCATGCTTTGGCCCCATTCCAAAAAATATACCTACTCCTTAACTTTCATCATCAACAGTCTATAAATGCCCACTTCTGAGCAAAGCAAAGTGGTATCTAAATAATCTTAGAAAGTACATATAACTCGGAAAAAGTCACATTGGTACTTGCCCGTTGGTAGGTTTCGATACCGCACCCTCATGCATGAGAAGCAGGCGTCTTACACCTTCGGGCCACCACGACTCTCAACTTCCAAAACTTCCAAATCACCATGAAATAACTTTGAAATCTCACAAGTGACTACACCTATTTTATACACTGAAAACAGTCTAGACTAGAATGTCCAGTTAGAAATTTGGCTGTAACTAGCAACTAAACATAATATTCTGGTATCTCATTCATATTTCGCACACGCATCATTTACTGTCCGCTTACAGTTAAACATGAGAAGATCCATAATAAGGTCAAGTTCAGGTAACGCAATGCGTAACCACCATAATGACAGATTATAGTAAATTGTGATACTTTTGACCTTTGGTACCCTCGTTCGGGTTTCTGATAGATCTAGTACCTTTAACACTGTATTGTTTTGAGACTTGACCGTTAATTGCAGTTGGTGCAGTGATTATCCTACAGGCATTTGACTGCTATGCAACGTCTCACAAGTACGATTAGGGTTGCCACCCATATTTTATAATAAAGTATTGTATGTTATTTAAGGTAATTGTACTCTATACTTTATAAGAATAATGAAGTACACGAAAATACTTTATTTTTGCAAACTTCATTTCTATTAAAGTCGTAAGTATTTTTCGGAAAACTTATCGATATTAATCGATTTATGTTGGATCGATTTCACCACTTGCCAGCGCCACTTAGACAATTGTTTAGCATTTCAATGCAATTGTTTAGTAAAGATACTAATTTAATACA